GAGGGGGGGGGGGGGGGGGGGAGGCAGTTGTTTTACTAAGTATACTTTCCAGACATTTGTTTCAATATAAGATGATCTATAATGTCTGAATAGAAAATAAAAATTCAATCAGACTATGAAGTTTCCCTTCTCCCCTCATTCTAAATAAAATAGATTTGTTTTGAAACATGGGTGTTTTCTTCCTTATTGGTTGTTGTAAAACATACAGAACTGATTATCTCTTTAAGAAAAGAATGTCAGACTGTGAGAGCAGCTCTTTGTATATACTCAGGGTTAATTTTGTTGGAGCCTTTCTTCTTTTGCTAGAAACCTTTCCACCAGAAAAAAGAATTATGCGGATAGCTACTTGGAAGTGTACACCCACTCCTCGGTTAGCAACCACCTCAGTTGGCAGCCATTCGCAAATATAAGGATAATAAAAATTCATTTTCTGACCCACATGCACATTTATGACCAAATTTTGTGCCCCTGACAACAATGCACGCCGGAGTGAGTAATGCTGGTGTAGCTATATGAGAGAACTTTATCTAAATGAAGCAGCAACCAGTGATCTTTGCAGCATCTTTCTTTCTGTTTCAGTCACATGGTTTGCTTAGCAACCATTTTGCTTAACGACCTGTTTGTTGGAACAGAACCTGGTCACTACATGAGGAGTGGGTATATTTATATTCATACAAATATTCTCACTCATCTTTTGCAGTTCCTTGCCCTCAAGCTTAGGAAAGATTCTACAGTCTCCTTTCTAAGATTTATAACATAATTTTCTTCTAAGTGAAAATTCTGTCCTCCAACTTTCCTTTATGAAATAACAGGAAAAAAGCATTTAAACTTTTAGTTGTGTTAATTTTTCTGTTGTTTTGTGGTGTCCCATACTAAAACATTTTTAACAGTGCTATTGGGAGCTGCTGATATAAACATAATTTTATACAAGCAAATGTATATGCCTAATGGATTCCTTTTATCCATTTCTATTAATATTGCTTTTGAAAAGGAAAAACTCACACAGAAAGATTTTCCAAAGTAATATGATTGGCAAGTTTATATCTAGAAATGTTAATACTTTTAATAACAGATTAAAGTTTATGAGAAACTTGCAATAGCTGCGGTTCAAATATGATTTCTTGCAGCACAAAATATGAATGAGAATTTGGGTATTTTGGGGAAGAAGTGTTCAGATAAATCTTTCAGACCATTATGCAGACACTTATTGTTCCTACTCTATACTACAGCAGGAAACAGCAATATACATATGGCATAAGAAAATGTGGATCACCAGTGAGAGGAATGTGGGGCATAAACCAAGGTGAAGTATAGCAAAGTACAGCTTGAGGCCCTAGGCCTCAAATCTTTTGTGGCTCCAAAAGTAGCCAGTATTAATGTTAATATGTCAGAAAGGGGAAATTATTAAATGCATAATACTGTATTAATTATATTACCTGAATATTAATTCAGGTATAATTTTTGTCGGGTCTGAATACTGCTGATGTAGAGTAAATTGCCAGAATCAATAAATCAAAAACATAAGGCTATTTTAATTATCAGATGATTGTGATAATAATAATTAGGATATATCAGTTTCAGAGGTTTTACAACTATATTTCATTTTGGTGATAATAGCATCATCACATTGTATTTGGAGGTGGGAAACATGTCAGATGCTGAAAGCAGTTTGCCTAAGGCCATCTAGTCAGTCTATGTCCGAAATGCAATTGGAGCTGTGAGTTTTGTAGTTTGAAAAATTTATAAAACATGATACTATCTAGTGAAATCAATAACATCTTAAATATTTTTCTCAAATTCTGTGGCCCCATTCTGTGGGACAGTTGTCATAATTTTGCTATCAAAATGTCATGTATGAAAGACTTTCCTTTATCTTGCCAGATTTTTAAATAATGGGCAAAATATGGACTGAGTAACCTGGATAAATTAGGTGCCTAGGATGGAATATACAGAATGTGGCATTGTATTAAAACAGCAATGATAGTTTACAGAACATTTAAAATGAACAAGGAAGGAAGACACCCAAATGGAGACAAAAATGAAATCACCAATATGCTATATAAGATTAAGGGGAAATATGTATCTCTCCTCCGCACAACCCTGGCATCCATATTTAATATGGCCCTAAATGAATTTCATATATTGAAACTTATATGCACAGTCATATTTAAAACAAATTCCATTATATCTTTAGTATTTCATTACCCATCATTATTTCTTATATCAGAAAAATGTCACCAAGCAAAGATCTCTGCCTACTGCATGTATATGATGTCTAATTTGTATCTGTGGCCATGTTGGACATGATAATATTCTTTGACTGAACAGTATCTCATCCACCATTCTAAGGTTTTGAAATATTGTGGTTGTTACCCACTTATCAAAAGCAAAAATCCAGTCATATATTTGGTGTATAGATTGATGGGAAATGAAGGGGTCTCTGTGCGTGTGTGTGTGTGTGTGTGTGTGTGTTTTGGCTAAATCGGTAGGATTTCTGCTGCTACTGCTCAGTGTATTTTTGTAGAATTCAGAAGAGCAGAATTATCTACTAGCTAAAGGTGTTCCCCCCCATGTGTTTTTTAATGGTTGACTTACTTTTATATAGCCACAGCTTGCCATTATGTTAGAGTTAAAAAATAAAACTGAAATCACCCATTGGCTATTTAGACTTTGTCAAGAGATGGTGGGATTCACTTTCTAAACTCCCAGATCTCTGAGTATCAGTGGCAGACTTCACATTTGCCAGGAGGGATTTTTATTAACTATGTGCCACATTTATGGTTAATAAGTTCCAACTTATTAACCAAAAGTTCCAAAACTACCATTGTTGGAGAGGGATTCTTCCGCGCAGAGGAACCTCTTGCTTCAAGAATCTTCTCCAAGAATGAGTGCCACCTAGTAATTTTTGCAGGAATGATGTAATACATTAAATAGGAATATGTAAACATACTAACTCTTTGCTTAATAAAAATGATTTGTTTCAAAAATCAAGAGTTGACAACATATCAGCTTAGTTTGCTCTATTTATAATAATAGTTATTTCACTGCATTTATAAATGTGAGTGCTCAAGTGTGATCCTCAGATGTTGACTATAGAGCTTCTTTTATATGGGATATGAATATATACCTTAATATGTAAAATATCAGTTTTGAAAAAGATTGTGGACGGTGGATGCATAGATTTATTATGCTTTCTTGCACACTTGTCATATTCCTAAAATCTGACCTATTTTTCTCTTGAAATTTCCCTAACATTTCTGTAGCCTTAATTTTTCTTTTTGACTAACGTATGATTTATGCAAGGTAGCTTAATCTACTTCTGTGGTTTTGGCATATGGATTGATGTATATGTATGTCTTTGCTTTTGATGTATAGATCTGTGTATCTGTCTCCATGTTTGAAGTATGACTATATGTGTATATATAAGAATTCTTGCCATGACTGATGTTTCTGTTTGAACTTTCTGAAACAATAATTGGATATTAATGGATAATTCCCAGAGAACTCATATTACCTGTCATATCATATAATAGATATTGCACTACTAGTGGCCAGGTATCAAATACATTTTTCAAAAATTATTAACTGCACATTAAAATATTTCCTTTCCATTGTTTACATATGAAATGATCTAAATTCATGTTAAGTAGAATAATATTTTCCTGTGCAGTTGGATTTTGGGGGCTTGAAAGTATAAGGTATCTTTTTGTTTGTGTATGTAAGATGTGCATTTTATCTGTACCACATATATTATTCTGAACATCACTAGTTTCCCTTCTGAGAAATGAGTGTTTTGTTGGGGGAAAGAAATGTGGTTTGGCATTTGCAAATCGAAGCCTTATCTTTGCCTTAGGCTCAGGAAAAAGTTGGGCATGGAAGGAGGATGGTAGCCAGGAAGAATGACATGTTTGGGATAAAAAATAAGAAAACACAAATTAGCCTTAAGAGTGATGCTTTTGTAGCTCCCCTTGCCCTGGATTTCTATGGATAGGCAAGAGCACAGTGGTACTTATGGCTCTGGGCTGTATACAGCCCCAAAACTTTTGGTATACACCTAAGCTTTCTTCAAAGATTGTCAATAAGTGTAATTTAAGATCATATTATATACCTGTGGCGTATTCAAGTTAACTGTATTTAATTAATATACTTTAAATAAAGTTGAATTTAGTTTTTATCCTACTTTTACCTCCTTCTTTATTCTGATCCTACCTTTGTTTGAAGGGCAATTTCCAGAGGCCAAAGGCCAAGTGTGGTCCTTGGCCAGAAAAAATTGTACATCTTTGAGGAAGAGGCTTACATGGAACACACAAATACACTAGGAATAGACCAAGAGTATGGATTCAAACATAACAAATGTGTTAAAGCTGCATTAAAACAAGTGATGATTCATACACCAACTTAAAACTATGGTTTTAAATGGTGATTACTTATAGGTTCACATAAACAAACCTTGACTTAACATAATCTGTTTATTTAAAGTGCCATGAGTCAGTTCACTGAAATCAGCAGTATAAAAGTTAAATAAAATAAATCTAGTTACAGATCTTTGTGAATTGAACCACAGAATGAAAGGAGAAAGATAGTTGAAGTCCATTATTTTTCTTAAAAGCTTGCTATCTAAATTCTTTTTATTGGTGGGCAAGGTTTACAGTCTGCAACTGCTTGTCATTGTTTGAAAGAAATAAAAACTTCCAATATTCCTAGCTATACTCCTATACTGCCACAGTGTTAGTGGGAAGGAAAATTCTGAAAGTTTCTCTTGCAACCAATCATCCAGTGGAATGAGAAAGTCATGTTTACATTTTAAAATCAGCTTGACTCTCTAGTCAGTGACTGACTGTTGTCGAAATTTAAAGCATTGCTCATTCTCTACATATTTACCAACTATCCTCTATGGCAATTTAGAGTTGTGGTCTTGAGTGCTCTGAATAAAAAAGGAGAATATACTGTAAATCAACTATATAAAAATAAATAATAGCTCTATACTGTGAAGCTAATGAGCTACATTACAGTTATATTTTTTAAAAAATGTTTCGCTTTAATTTTCATTTTTTTCCTTGTTCCATTTATTCATTGTTCTTTTTTTTACCTTGTGCATGATAAATAAGAGCTGCTGTGCCTGCAAAATTATTTAAAATTGCTTTGAGTAATTCTGCTTTTTTGGCTTTTTTGTACCTAATCAGAATTGATGTCACTGAGGTTCAAGTCTTCATAATAATCATGCATTTACTGGCAGCGATTGGAGGACCTACATTTTGGCAAACTATGGTAATTTTGTCCATCTCTATATCATATATATAGACATATATATATATATATATGTATAATTTCTTTTAGTCTACTATTCTAAAGAGATTAATTCCCTTATATATTTAGATTATTCTTATTTCTGTTGGAAAGATCTTAACATTTCCAATGGAATAAATGTTTGTTGTCTTAAATTATATTTTGACACCATTCTCCAAATATTTCAACCATACTTAGCATAAAGTGCTGTCATTCAGCCAAAATCTCTTCCATAAGAAATAATTTTGACTGTCATCTGAACAAGTTACTAATATATTTGATGGTTCAGTAGCACAAATTAGTAGACTGCAGATGCTTGGATTGAAAAGCAGTACACTGGTAGAGCTATGCATCATTTGGAGGGATGCTTTGCATAATGCTAAGAGTATGCAAGCAATAGAAAATACGTGTTCTTTCTAACCCAGAACAAGCCATCATATTCTGGAAGTTCTGGTGAACCACTTCAGTCAGCCATGGTTCAGCAGAAGCAAAACTAGAACACTTTGGTTGTTCCAGGTATTAGGTGAATCAAAATCTAGAGAGATCCCTGAGTATTTAATAGGTGATTATGCCAAGGACTGGCCCCTTTTCATTCCATCTCTTTTCAGTGTCTTCAGTGAGACATATCCTACCAGCCTGCTCACCCCCAATCTTTACCACCTGTCCTCCCACTCCTCAGGCACCACCAATGTTCTTGGCTTTTTCTTAACTCCACTCCCAAATACTTGTGCCCCAATCAATCACATTTTGGTTTGTAACTAGAGTAAAAAAGACCCATTTTGTTCCATATAAAGATACTTGAAACATGTACATATGGTTCAAGCATGGAGCTCCTGAAACCAGCTGTTATGTTCATAGAAGAGTTTATACATGGAAAGTTATGTACATCCCTACATAGTGTCTTTCCAAACTTGCTGCTCTCAGTATTGAGGCAATGTTTGAGGCTCTTCCCCAGTCCTTGGAGGGAAAGAGCCTCAAAGTGGCCATGCCAAGCCTTTGAGAGTCATGGCTATATCAACACTGAGCAATGGATTTAGAACCTCCAATTGGCAATCGTAGATCTACTACTGTAAGTCTTGTACTATAAATGAAGTTCAAATTGTGGTGCCTAAATTTCATGACATCTTGTAAAGAAATAATTAGCAAGATAATTTTGCTGCCATAGATGCTTGAGCATGTTGTTTGTCTATAACAATTGTTTGTGTCATAAGTTTGTAAGTTATTTAAATATTTAAAAATAATAAATAATTGGAGGATCTTACAAAATATATTTTACAGTAAAAGCAAACAAAACTAACAAATTATTTTAAAATTTGAATAAGTGTTCATTTAAAACAATATCTTTTCATTTGGTAGGCTTAGATACTTTCAGTTGTTTTTTACATTGGGAAAAAAGGCTCATTTTGTGAAGAGAAATACATACATACATACATACATACATACATACATACATACATCAGTATATATATATATATACTCAAATATTCTACTTTTCTTTCTGTATCACTTTATATTTACATGATAGTTTCACGAAGCTTGTTCTAATGGTACTGTTGCAGTATTCTGTCCACAAAGTGAAAGAGAAGCAAATGCAGTGGGGCAGAAAGAATGAGGATAGCATTTACTGTATTTCTATGCCAGTGTATTCCTAGAATATTCTGAAAGTGGTTTACAATATATTGCTGTGGCCTCCCTTCTGTTTTGTTAATCTTAACATACAGTCGTGTGAAAAAGAAAGTACACGCTCTTTGATTTCTATGGTTTTACGTATCAGGACATAATAAAAATCATCTGGTCAAGCACGGTGGTGGAGGGGTGATGATTTGGCTTGTTTGCAGCCACAGGACCTGGGCACCTTGCAGTCATTGAGTCGACCATGAACTCCTTTGTAT